GCCTCTTCTCACACACTGAACGAAGCAAAGGCTGGAGCATCACTTGATAGATGTGCTGGTTGTCTTGTCTGACCCACATTGAAATGGAAAAATCTTTTGTGACACTAAGTCCTGAAACCTTTCTGACACACCTTGTAGCGTTCAGACAGTCAGCTTCCAAGGAGATGTGACACAGCATAGTTGTGTCAAAGCAACGTGGAGGAAATGGAAACAAAGATGGCTAAAAAGTCACAGAGGGCCAGAATCAATGTAAACTGTCCCTCAGGCAGAGAGGCAGAGTGAGAGAGAGGCAGAGAGAAAGAGAGAGAGGACACTGAAGTGTTCAGACGTGGTTTTGGCATTTCTGTTTGGAGGATCAAGCACCAGTGGTCACTTTCTAATTCAGTGCCAACAAGACTAACAAGATCAAAATCTACTCTTGTTTTTTCTGTTGAATCCCCTTATGGAGGTGTTGTAAGTGTAAGACACGCGTTGTCAACTACAAGGACAAATCTAGTCAAGAGTATACAATCCAAAGAGGAAAGTGGTGTTTTGAAAGACCCCAGTTTGGGTAGTAGCTGGCTCAGCATATGCCCGTGGTGATGACCCACACCCCTCAGCACCTCAGCACCTCAGCCCTCACACACACACACACACACACACACACACACACACACACACACACACACACACACACACACACACACACACACACACACACACACACACACTTGTGTCCACTCGATTGGCAGGCCAGGATTGGAGGGAAGCCAATTCTGTTGTAGAACATGTGGACTGAGTGTGGAGTGTGGAGCTGGCAAGGGGCGGAGAGGGGTGGGGGTTAACCTCCAAACTAGACAGGTGACTCGAAATAGGCTCAGCAACTAAGAGCAGCTTTGGGGTCGCTTACATTTCAAGTGTCCATCGACTAAACATCAAAAGCAAAAGCAAATGGCTACATTATGTTACCCTCCCAAATCCCCCAAAAGACCAATAAAACATAAAATACATTATTCTTAAAATAAGGAATGAGGACGACGCATTGAAAATGAAGTCAAAGTAAGACAGGATGAAAATAAGTTATTTTTTCCCCCCCCGTGTTATATTGGTTCATAGAGGGATGGAGAAATAAATATTCACAAGATGTTTTGTTAAAAATCAAAAGGGCAGAAAAGTGGGGGGCGAAGTGCAATTCTTAATGCCAGTGGAGTTGGGATGGCTAACTTTGACAACCCGTTTCTTTTCCCCAACACGTGGGATCACCTGACCACCAGTGGAATGCCATACGCACACATGCACACACACGCACACATTCCAAGAGAATATCACGTGAAATAAATTAAACTCTGCAGCTTCCATCCTGCAACCTTGTGCAGCACCAGAAAGCAACACAATAATTAAATTGTAGGATGTCAACCAGGAAAAACTAAGTGTCCAAGCCACGCCCACCGCGCTTCCAAATATGGACTTTCAAATGCACAATAAACACAAGTCAGCAACAGAGGCAAAAGTTCTATCCATGAGCTCTACCTTTTTTTTTTCCATCTTTAACATTAATTTATTAAGCTATCTGTATGTACAAAGAAAAAAAAATAAAACGACTGCTTCTTTTTGGACGGTCACAGAGGGAGAAAAGATGAAGAGTTATTGCTTGTTACTGCTGGAGAGAAGGTGGACGTCTATTCCCAACATATCTTGTCGCTGTTGTTTGGGTCGCGTCAGCTGGAAAGTATTTAAGTGCAGGATCGCCCGTCGCTTGTCGAGAGGGAAAGAGAGCGTGAGAGAGAACGAGCCGCCTTCAAAAGGAATGACTTTTGTGTGGCCGTCTTGCTCCGCGCTAGCGTGTGGAAGCAGACGCTTTTTGCTTTCCCAGCTGATGGAGGACTTCCGCAATAGCACCGAGTCAAGTGTCCAAGATGAGACAGATGTGGCGTCTTTGGCGGCGTCGAGTGATGTTGCCGCGACGTCTGCTTTCCATTGGCTGGGCCCAAGGCCGAAGCACCAATCAGTTTACAGCAACTTCAATAGCAAAGAGGCTTGAAGTGCGTTTTGGGTCATAGTTGTCTGTATGCATGGGTTTTTCAAGGGAGTATTTTGCCATTTGTCTTCCTAAAATGACTAAAACCAAATTGTGGGGGTCCTAGATCAGGGGTCTTAAACTGGGGTCCGTGAGCTGGGAAATGATTTGCAATAAATAATTATGTGGTTTTATTTTTTTGGTGGGGGGAAAGTGCATGATTACGTACAGGGACCAGCAGACTAAACCAATTACTTGTGAGGCATCATATAAATCTGTATAACTCTCAAGTGGTTCTAACCCTGAACCACTGAACTAAGAAAATATATTTGAGTAGTGTTTCCCTGCATATATGCCATTCACTGAAATTTTGTTGGAACGCATCTTTTGTTATTTGCTGAAAAACTCACCTACTTCCCCTTTTTTGTGCTCAGGCCAAAGCAATACTAATATTGTTTTGGTGCCATCTTATGGCATCTCAGTGCTAAGGAACTATATTGAAGTGAATTGGGGAGCTTCATTCTGACAAAAGCAGAGCTTTGCCACCTTCTTGTGGCATCTCTGAGCAATGATAACCCTTTTTTTAGAGGACGAGTCAATTACTTATGGATTTTCTCGACTGAAGTGGGGAGAGCCTGTATTTAGGTTGAAGTATTTTGACACTAATGACTAGTGCACAATATGTTGAGTTGGCATAAGGATTAAGAGGTGGGTCCTTGCAAAAATGTGTCCCCTGTAGGTGGTCCACAGACCCAAAAAGTTTGAAAGTCTATGTCCAAGATATTAGGTTCCGCTCTAACACTGTCTTTTGTTGTATGGTGAGGGAACACTGTAAGCAGGTGAACAGATGCCTGTGGGCACGGCTGGACGGGTGCACGGATACACCAGATGGGAGGACAGGGAACAGCAGGGGGGCGAGGATGGGGAGGAGGTGCTTGCGGTGGTGTTGGCGGCGGCGTTGTGTAGCTTCTAGGAGGAGAAGGCAAGTTTGACACTGCAGGAGGAGTATCCCTCGTCGCTGGCCATGCTCTGCAGGCTGCTGTGGTCGTCCAGGTCGCTGGTGCTGGCTGTGCTCAGACTGTCCAGCTCTCCGTGGGAGAACTCCGTGCTCTCCACGTCCACCTCGATCTCCTCTGTGATGACAGACGAGCGCACAAGAGAGGAAACGTCAACTGCTTGATCGGCACCGGCATGGATTGGACAATTGACGATGTGGTCTAAAATGTGCATCTTCCACATGTCTGAGATGGAGCTCCCATGGCACCGAGTGTCAATTGATGATATGCCACACACTTTGGCTGTACAGACTCAGCCACATCGATTTTTTTCCTCTCTGACTATCACAGAGTTAAATGACTGCATTCTTCACGAGATCACTTCAAAACATCGCTGACTGAAAATTTCGCTGAACAACATGGGTTGTTGCATCATTAAAATTAATTTCTACCTTTGGTACTCAAAGCACTTTACACGGTTTCCTCAATTACCTACTGATGACACAGCAACAGGAGCAGCTGGAGGTCCAATATCTTGCTCAAGGACACTCCATCAAGGTCACAATGGCTGGGGATTGAACCCCCAACCTTTGGGTTGGGAGACAACCACTCTCTCACTGTGCCCTGCCGCCCTTTAAGGGTGCCAAAATATCAAAATTCCAACAAGCAATATTTACTTACGGTATGCCTTTATCGCTAATCATTTTCAAGGTTAAAGGTTGTAGACTTTTTGAAATATCAAAACTGAATATTTGATAGAAAAAACTGGGTTGAGTTTCAAATGTTAGCTACCGCGTAACTAGTGAGCACACCATTTGCATTTGGTTACCTTGGTGGCCAGCACAAATGTTGTCTTACTTCGACTCATATTTGCCCAGTCTTCCTGTGATACAGTGTCCACAATTCTTATCTTATGTGACTATCTTGAAAGTGATAGCTCAACAGATTCACTCAAGGCTCAACTAATTTCACAGAATCTGTCAAGATGATTTCTGCTTTGTTACTAGTAGACACAACATCGGACCTTGGTCGGAGTCAGAGCGCTCGGAGCCGAGGGTGGAGCCCACGCTGTCCATGCGTATCCTCTCGCCCTCCACGGCCGCACCTCCGCCTCCTCTCAGCAGCTCCAGTTGGCGCTGGAGGTGTCTCTGCTCACGCTCCAGAGACTCCAGCTGGTACTGGCTCTTCCTGTCCGCTTCTTCAAGTTTCTGGAAGCGGGAGAGAAAGGGGGCGGAGTTACATTTAGGCGCATCCACAGGTAAGGAAGACGGCTGAAGGAATATGGGGGGGAATGGAGGAATGTTTTTATGTGACGTCGCTTTGAGAAAATCTGGTCAAAATTGACCTTCAAATTAGAGTAAAACAGTATAACTTCATTATTTTTCAAAGTTTTGCTCGACCTTTTCATGTCATTTTCTATTCGGGAAACCTCTTATGCTGACTGGCTGACAGGTTTCAGTTAAAAACATTCACCAAATCCTCGGGCAGGCCAAAATTCCGAGACGTCAACAGGTCAAAATTAACATTTTATGACAGTTTCAAATTCCGATACTTGACTAGCGCAAAGAAAACATATCAGGGAGAAGAGCAGTGTGGGGAGTAGCAAAGTAGCATCGGTCATCTACTTCAGCACTAGTACTTTAGAGGGATTTGAAGTGATCATCGGATTTTTTTCAAACATTTTTTAATTTTAGAAAATTTCACAAAGACGGTGGCCACTTCTCAGGTTGCAAATGCAAGTTACGTTCATTGATGACTGCTTGACAAGCAACTAGTCCAGGTCGTAACCCGACTCTCGCTCACTCAGGGCTGAGCAGGGACGTTTCAGTGTGGGATCAGTACAATGGAGAAGTGACTAAAGCCAGTCTTGGATCGGCTGAAGCTCACGGGGAACTCAAGTAAACAAGCAGTAGATAAAATGGATGGATGTACTTCGAAAAGCTGGCTCACCTTTATATGTGCTTTGGCTTTGTTGAGCAGGCCCAAGGTGGTATGACGGCTACAGTCCGGCCCCAGTGGGATGAGGGCCTTCAAGCGCTCCAGACACAGCCGCAGATGAGCCCGTCTGCAGACAAAATGTGGGAGAGGTAATTGAATTTTTGAACAGTAGGGAAAAACGTGTGAAATACAATGCATGCGATGTGGCCCAGGCTACGGTTACCATTGTGCCACTTTTGACAGAAGCTTAGCTGCCAGTTGTACACATCAATGCTTGTAAAATTATTGGGGAAAAACATAACAGCCAACTGTGGTAATGCAACAAGGCAGGAGCATTAACGGCATCTCACTAGATGTGACACTTCTTTTTCAAATTAAAAAAAAAAAAAATCACCCACCAGAAGTTACAAGGAAACAAGCAGACCAATTTTAAAGAGTAGCAGTGTGTAGCAAATGCTTTTTGTCCATATTTGGACATGAACCCCAATGGCCATGTGGCCAATTTATTAATTAAAATAGCACTTTTTATTTCAAAGAAAACATCAAAGTGTTACAGAAGTGAAAGCAGAAGTCAACAAAACAGACAAGACATTTGAGGCCATTTGAGTCCATTTGTATGTTTCCAAGAAGGAACACTAAGTAAAGATGAAGACTGCTACATTGGCTTGCCCCCCTCCCCCACCCTCACGCATTAGCGAGGTATGTTTGGACAACCTTTACAACTTTTCAAACAGTTTGAAGCTTTATTATGTTTATTTACAATAATTTTGTAATGTACTGGGCATTTTTAGACCGTGAAAAAAAGTACTTCAATTTAATGGACAATCAGCTGTAACCGATCACTCTTGCGTCCATTCAATCCGTGGCCAATTTATTAATTAAAATAGCACTTTTTATTTCAAAGAAAACATCAAAGTGTTACAGAAGTGAAAGCAGAAGTCAACAAAACAGACAAGACATTTGAGGCCATTTGAGTCCATTTGTATGTTTCCAAGAAGGAACACTAAGTAAAGATGAAGACTGCTACATTGGCTTGCCCCCCCTCCCCCACCCTCACGCATTAGCGAGGTATGTTTGGACAACCTTTACAACTTTTCAAACAGTTTGAAGCTTTATTATGTTTATTTACAATAATTTTGTAATGTACTGGGCATTTTTAGACCGTGAAAAAAAGTACTTCAATTTAATGGACAATCAGCTGTAACCGATCACTCTTGCGTCCATTCAATCCGATAAATCGAGGTTCCACTGTATACACGTTGTTTCCCCTCCTCGCGTGTCAGTGCTAATCAGTGAGCGTTTCAAACGGCTAAACACAGATGTCAACCGTTACCGATTTCGCTGCGGCAGCAACCCATTCGCAATTGAGTGCTAATGAGGAGACGGGAAACATTTGCACTTCAGCACCCGAACGCCAAATGTGCTTGGTAGTCTCGGCACATATTGTACGGCACACGCTACGACATACTTATAGAAAGGAAAAGCTCCTGAACAGTTTCCTGCATTGCCAATAAGCAGGAAGCTTTAGCGAGTGCCTCAGCAGGTTACATTTGTTTTTGTTTTTTTAAGCTTCTGCTCGATACGTGATCCTCTGTGGGCATTTCTCTTAGCCAGGTTCAGTTACCCCACTCATCTCCATAACAAATATGTTTTGGTTGATAGGTGCCGTAAAGGAAGGAAAGGTGTAATGGCATTTCCTGGACCTCTCTTAGCCCATGCGTTCCATCATCTCGACAGAACCTTATTGGATGACTGGGAGAAGGCCTGGGGTGACATCCATCCTGCTAATGGCCCGGAGTTGAGAGATAAAGAGAGATAATTATGGCTATAACCCAATCAGTGCTCCATTAACAGAAGCTGCCCTTTCAGCCCGCCTGAAGGGCTGGGTGGAGGGCGAATAGGAGTCTGGGGGTTCAGTGTAGTGACCCACACTGAGGAGATGAAAACAGGTGGGGTTCAAAGCGACAACTACTTTCTGTTGCTCTAAGACTGGTGAAGACGACTGCAGCCCAGAATACCCATCTGTCAGTCTGCGTGAATTGGGGGGGGTTCAGGTATAAATGGATGCCGCCGATAAGAACAAGAGTGCAAACCATTAGAGCAGCGCAAGTATGTATGAGGGTGCGCTTAAACGCCACCCAAGCAAGTAGAGCGCTCTTCGAATGAAAGAGGAGGTGCCATGATGCAATCTGGTGGTGCTCAAAGTGTGGAGGTCACAAGACACGCACGCACGCACCCAAAGTATGCTTCTCGTCTGGCTGTTTGCGTGATGTCTATCAGTCTGGCTCGGGCCTTTTGTCAACACCTTATCTTCTACCGATGGGGCCTCGCAAAGTCTGCGTCTGCCTCACACGGACACCCGCAGTCATGCTTCCAACCATCACGTTATCAGCTGACAGTTCATCTCTCTTTCCGAGACACCTGGCACCACCTGGGAGGTGCACCATGTCGGACAGCTCTCTAATGCACAGCCAGTCTAAATAAATAACAAATATACATAATAATAAATAAATAACGCTTGTTGAAAGGACTGATCGCAAGCCCGATGCTTTTTACTGTCCAAAACTCAAGTTAAATAAGGAGGAAGTTCTACATTTCAATGGCAACAGGCTGCTTGGGACAGTTAAAAAAAATGGTAATGCACTATGAGGCAAGTCATGAAGGGGGGTGGGGGGTATACTAAAGAAACTGACCGGGTGACAAGCAGCACAGACAACAGAGATATTATTATTGATTGACTTGATTTGCCAAGTGACATTTCAATGTCCCAATAAAAAAAAATGAATCCTAGATCTGTGTATCAACGGCTACAACGCCATACCAGAAGGCCATACCAGAAGCGTGACAGAGACCGAAGGCACCAAGATGTTGTTTTCCGCTCTGACCAGGACTGAAACCACAATGGGATCGCAAGAGACAACCAAAGCACCAGCCCACTGACCATTCCTGCTCTCCTTTGACCTCACTTGTCGCCGAGTAGCAACGTGCTACCATTGTGATTTCACTTTGGGCTCCTTGCACCACGATTTCTACTTGTGACTGTGAGGTGTCACTCCTTGCGCGGCTTTCGCCAAGGACGTGCGAAATCACAAGCATCATTTAACGCCCACATGGCAATGATGTCGTGCAGTCACATAGACCAAAGCCCAACAAAAGTTCCATTAGATCTGGAGAAGGTCGAAAAAGCTTATGGCCAATTAGGCCAACAGTAATTCCATCATGCCTAGTGTTGGCGGAGTAGTTTTGTTGGAGGGCATTCTGACTGTTCGACTGTTGAACTTTTGTCGCTGCTGCAGATGATTGCCATAGAAAAAAATAAATAAAAAATAAAATAAAAGAATACATACTGTATCTAAGACAACAAATACAAATCACAATCACATGAATATGCATTGCTCTATCTGGGCTAACAGGTTGCTATGGTAGCACATCAAAAGGAAGTCCTGAAGCACATCTTGTTTCATCCTGCTACAAGGCCATAATTAACAAAAAGACTGAGATGCTGGTCCTGAGAAGCTATCCATTCCTTCTGTGCTGGCTTTATTTTGTAGACCTGCACATCATGTCCAATTGTTGATAGTGTGTATTGTCAAAGCACTCCGAGTTCTGGTTCTGTTCTCTTTGACGCTATCTTGTGTACCATGTGATCTCCTGTTTTAGAAACACAAGTGGCTCATTGGCAGCATGTTGCCGTCAAACACCCTCAATGTGTCTCTCGGCGATAGGCAAGATTGCAGAATGTCTACATGGCTTTTGTCCTGATGTCTGGACACGCGCCAGCCTCTTGTTGGGAACACTCTGATAATTGAAGAACTCCTCAGCTGATCATGTATGAGCAGGAGGAGGTTTATTGCGATACCGACTGCGCCTGGCAAGCATGTATTTGGTGGTGGGGGGAGAAAATCCTCATTTCCTTTGTGGTTAGGGGAAAAAGCAAGTTACTAAAGATAGCTGAAAGCGGATGCAGGTTTATCATGCAAAGTTGTCCGGCCAGCATTATCTGAAAATGTGTCACTGAGAGAATAAAGGCCATGAGCTTGTGGCTAATTGGGAGGCCCTCTCAAAGGGTTCCTAAGCCCTGCAATTGATAGTTTATCACGTAGACCCAAAGAGTTTAAGAACGTTGAAGTCATTTCCTACTAACAATATGAGTGGCGTAATGCTACCATAAATAGTTGCATAGCACGGCGTCCCCTCGTTACTCTGTAATGCAGCTTCCTGACTGGAGTTTACATATTCTCCACATGCTTGCGTGGGCTTTCTCCATGTACTCTGGCTTCCTCTCACATTTCAAAAACATGCATGTGACCAAGAATCAAGGATTCTGTGTTGTTGATAGGTGTGAAAGGGAGTGTGAATAGTAGTTTGTCTATATGCTCTGCGATTGGCTGATAACCATTCCAGAGTCAACCCAGCCTCTCACCCTAGGTGAGCTACGATGGGCTCGAGCTCAGTCGCGAACTTAATGAGGAAAAGTGCAATTGAAAATGGATGGCTATAACATGCACAGGATGAGTAAACCTCATAGTGTGGTGAGATGAGTGATGGACTCAAATGCATAAGTGGACCTTCATCAGCGTGCGCAAGCAGATTCACACTGTTCGGAAACAATCTACTCCAACTCAAAAAAACCTAATTACTTTCGGTAAATATGTACTTTAGATTTTAATTTGCGGTGCTCACCAAAAATCGATGACACCCTCAGAAAACAGTAGTGGGTGACAGAAATAGATACAGTGCCCACCATAATTATTGGTACCCCTGGTCAAGCTGTATTCAAAGCCTGAAACATTTTTTTTTTTGCTGAATCTTAGAAGCGTACTCCCATACTGAAAATTGTACGAATGTTTTACCAGACACAAAATCAAGCTCCTCCCATGGCCTTGTCAGCTCCCAGACCTCAACCCCGTTGAAAACCTGTGGAGTGAGCTAAAGAGGAGAGGGCCCGGGTCATTGGATGATTTAAAGAGAGTGCGCAAAGATGAATGGTTGAAGATTCCTTTTTCTGTATTTCCTCATCTCATGAAACATTACAAGAGAAGATTAGTTGGTTTTGTTTTTGCAAAAGCCGCTTGCACAATGTATTAGCATCAGGGGAGCCAATAAATGCACCACACACAGTTTGATGAAAAAGAACTATTGCTTCATGCGGGATTTTTGTCCCACCGAATAAATTAAAGGTTGGATTTTACCATTTTTTTTCTTTTTAAGTTTAATCCGATTTTATTGGTGGGGGGGGGGGGGATATGAATTTATTACAAGCTAAAGAAAACATCTTAACCAGGGGTTCCAATAATTACGGAGGGCAGTGTAGAACCAGTCGTCTCAACAATGAAAACAACACAAGACAAAGCAGGCGTCCGTCAGGGTTCCTGTGGAATCCAGAAGGATATCCACATTTCCACAACAGTGAGCCAGAATCATGTCAATGTATTTTTTCTTTTCAACCATGGTTGCATGACTAAAAAGCTGATTTCTGATGCTGGCTCACTGAAATGCGGATTGTGCATGTGGATCGATACATGATGCAACTAGCTATTTATAGGAAACCAATTGGAAGTGAATAGCTGGCCTTGGATTCCGTACTTATGTAACAATGTGTGCATTGAATGTCAGAAAGGTATTTATTTCACAATATTGTGTTTATTTTCATATTGATCGCTCACCTATATCATGTGCTATAATAGGTAACCAAAATGTTTCTGCCACTGCAAACCACAGCTATAATAATATTACGAACCCTTTTTTGACAGTTTCAATCAAAATAGAACATTTCGAACTGTGTTTTTTTGGGACGTAGTCCTTGCAATGCATGACTGTGCGCAGGGGTACCTAAAATGTATTTTCACGGCAATGTGGCACTTCTACTCTATGAGTGCGCTTGTTTACACCATTGTCTTCATGTTTGTGTGTGTGAGCGTGTTCCTGATGGTCTCCTGATGGTCTCCAGATGGGTACGCAGGAGGGCAGCTCTGCCTTTTTGGCTTTGACATGTGAGCGAGGAGCCAGCCGACCACGGGTCACTGCACCCCTGCACCTCGCCTGCCTCATCTCCCCTCCCCACCGATCACATGAGCACAGTGCCTTTTGTATCGCAGGACTTTAACTCATTTCCATTTGCAGCACTGTGTGAATGCAATCTTTTTTTTTTTCTTCTTCTTAATTCAGCACTAATGTGCTTGGTAGCAGCTTCACTTGAGCTTTGAAATGTGAGAAAACAGACTCCAGTATGGGGTTTTATTTTTACAGAAGCACTTTGATTCTCTCCCCATCTGGTATAGGAGAGCTGCCCACCTACTCTTACAGAACAACGCACATCACATGCACTCTCTCTCTTTTTTAGTCAGCTCAAAAGAGTGCGGTTCACTACTCGCCTACTCCTGTGATCTGCCATCATCCCTGAACATACATACATATGACGAACAACTGTCCAGCACGTTAACAGATGCACGCATCACTGTGGCAGCACAAAGATAATCAAACCCACAACATTAAGATACAGTAAGCAAGAGCTGTTTTTGCTGTCTTGGTAAAACATAAAATCACCATCACTGATTTGGTTTCCAAACCAAAATATTGGTGCGCCTTACTTTCCTTTCCAAAACGTTAGCCATAATGTCACTCAAATGTTGTATTTTTGATAGCTTGAAGGGAATGTGAAAGCAAATTTGACTATATTACTCACGAGGCTATTTCTGCAAATGTTTACATGCTTTGAATAAATTAGTTGCAATAAAAACAAGCCCGAGGATAGAACATGAAGAAAATTGTAATTCTCTTTTTTAAAAACTGCACTGATAAACCAAACCGTGTTACTGCTTATTCAAAGCAGTCTTAAAGCAATACTTAAAGCGAAAGCACTGGTGACAGAGGAAAGAAAAAAAAGACTGCCCTAGATTCCAAACTTGTGAATACATAAATAATAGATAACTTCTCAGGCCCAAGATGTCTGACATTATTACTGGCCGTGCTCTTAAAGGCAGGGTCACATTTCCAGCCCAGATAAGAGTCAACACACATATTCTCCATGGCAAATCCCCAACGCACACGCACATACACTTTGACCCAATTCTATTTCATCTAGAGGGAGTGAAAATTTGACCCTTCACCCAGTTATTACACTAATTACACATCAGCGCCGTCCCTCTCAGAGGTAAACCTCCTAATTTGATTTACAAAGGGAATCATAATCATGACAAAGGGTGATGTTCCTGGGAAAGAAAACAAAAGAAACAACCTTGCACAGGAGGTACCACCTTGCACTTTCCCTTGTTGCAACTTCTTTATGGCCAAGGCTCATTTGAAGCAGCCCAAAAACCTAATGCAAGGCGATGACAAAGATTAGAGGAACACATTTAGAGTATTTTGTGATGCATAGCCTCATTTAAAGCAGTCTACTCCAAGTCCAGTGGGCACGACATTATGTCAACATCAAATTATAATAAGAAAACCTTGATTCGTCTCACAGTGGAGAAATTCCCAATTTACAGCAGCAAAGTTATGAAAGGAAGAAAGTAGAAGAAAGAAGAA